TAATTAACCTATTACTTAAAATTAATAAACAATTATATGAACAAGCATAGAAACCCTACTATATAAATTTTGCTAACTGGAAAAAACAAAAGCACTTAAACTACCCATATGATAACAATTTCAATTCTACTCAACAATCTGATAATTTAAGTTTACTCGATGACTTTAATTCTAATCAACAAGCTAAAAGTACCAATCGTATAAGCAAAACATATACAGATTCTTGTTTATATGAAGAACTAGACCAATTATACTCACATACTAGAATCTACTCACCAGTGGGTCAGGCTAGGAAAAAAATTAATACTTGGTCTTATCTTTAGGCTAAGTACAATATCTCTTTAAATCATATCTTAATTATAGTAACCTAGGTAAGTCTTTGACTATTCTAGTAGATTTAGGTCACAGATAAATTTTTCTTGTTTAAGCTCTTATTCTTACATATAATTTTTATTTTTATTTGTATTGGTACAAATAGTAGTAGCTCTGTAAATTTTTATATCTAGCAGTTATTTTAGTAACTGCATTATAGCAATCTATATTGTAACTATTTCAAAATTACTAATAAAGATACGAGCAAGACCTCACCTTAAAACAAAAAAAAAAAAAAAAAAAAAACAAAGCTTTATCAAAATAAGGTTAAATATTTATCTTAAAGATGCTAAAAAATATATAATACTTAATAAAATATGAATATTGAGTCTGAAAATAAAAAAATAAAAAACAACAAAAAAATTTTAAGAACATGTTGAAAGATTTATTAAAAACTTTGATAAAAAAGCCTCAAACTATATAGAGAAAAGTTTAAAAAAATATACAAAAATGCATAAAGCAAAACAACCACCAAACAGAAAAAGAAACAATGATTTTTATTTGTTGAAGAAAGAATAGCAGTCCCTATTGAAAGGTTTAAAAAAATTTTTCAAAATATTTCAATATGAATTTCAAAAACATTATTTATTAAAGTATACAGATTATGAAATGGAAAATTTATTTTATAAATCATGAAAAGAGTATCATATTAAGCTCTTTAACAAAAGCAAAAAAACAATAAAATTGAGCAGAAGTTATCAATCGATATAGATATCACGAGAAAAATCCATCCACGAACGCAAAGATTGGAAATGAGAAATACAAATAACGGCAAGTAAGACAAGAAAATAGTATAATCCATTTAAACAAGCGCAGCCAAACAGACAGAAACAAGATGATATTCGAAGAACAAAGATTTTCAGCACATTTAGGAAGCACCAGATTTCGTGCAACAAGGATCGAAACCAATAATTAACATTATATAGATGATGAAAGGAAAATTGGTAAAAAAAAAATCAAAAAAACAGGTTATGATCCCAGAAAGGATACCATTATTACACCTTTTATAGCTAAGCTTGTAGAAGAAGGAATCGAAATTCTAGGCATGAGAGACATAGAAATTATAGATGATTTTATTTAGAGTTAGTACATATGTACGTACGATATCTAATCTGTAATACGTAGAATATCTTGATAGATAACCTATTTTATAACTCATTTTAATTAATAATTAATCCGAATTTACAAAAAAAATTTTTTTTAGTTATCCGGTTTATATCAGGTTTTTATATATATAGAAAATATTTTTATTAGTTTAAGAAAAAAATATGATTTAATAAAAGAGTATATACCGATACGTTACGATACTTACTTAACGGTAATCGAACAAACAAATGGTTATGCATTCTACATAATCAATTAAAAGAAAAGTTTAGAACAGCCCATATAGAAGATTAAAAAAAAAAAAATACATATATATGTATAATACAAAATAATGATATATAATAACGATAATCCTTCTTGTATTATATTGTTCTAAACTTGTACCGATTTGTCACTAGTCACCAAAGATTTACATGCGGGGTTTTCACGTGTTTTCATGATTCGGTAATGAAAATATCGATATAATAACAATACTATATAGTACGATTAAAAGAAATACAAGAATCTGGGGAATAAGTTTTCTCTGGCTACATATCAAACATTAATTTATCTGCATATGGAGTTTCAGATGAAATTAGGTTTTTAGATCGGTTAAATTATCGAATCGAGATAATTTAATTTACGGAGAGAGTATGTAGTAAATATACATGGTAAATATAGTAAATATACATAGTAAATATATATAGTAAATATGTATTAAATATATTTATACGTATGTACATAGCATATATTCTTAACATTGAGAAATTAAATTCTTTTAAGTATTGTCAGAAAGTATTAAAAGTATTGTCAGAAACGTAGTGAAAACATATTATTTCTAAACAAAGTAAATGCTCGATTATGTACGTTACAGTATTATTATCGCTATACAGTAAATGAATCTTAAAAAAAATGTTAATAGATTATCGATACTAGTTTAAGTAATTAATAGTAAATAATTAATAATAATTTAATATATAGTAATTAATAGTAATTAATAGCATTAATAGCAATTAATAGCAATTAATTTAATGATATTAATAAATTAATTAGAAACGTTTAAAAAGACAAAAAGACAAAAAGGACAGATTAATTTACTCCAAGTTTACTTTCACCTGGAGATAAAAAATCCGTTGCGATTATACAGTCAATCCTTACTATTGTCATAAAACATGGAGATAAAGATTAACTGCTTGTTGACTTTATATATACTGTACATACATACGATACATAAGTATGTATCAGTATGTACATGCGATACATAACGATACATATCGATTAATAATTAAAATACCAAAATTTAAGAATGTATTCGAATTTAAGAAGCATGATACATATCGATATCGATATCGAAATTGTGAAATCACATGTCCTGCTAATGTCTTTGACTAATAAATCATCTAGAAAAGTTAATGTAACAGATAAATGACCGTCTAGAAAAGTTAATGTGGAATGGCAAATTAAAATAAAGCAAGTTAGATTAAATTAGAAATCGATATTTTATTTGTCCGAAGTTTAAAAAAAAATACTAATTTGAGAAATAAAAAATTTTCGTTGTTGTTTAACAATGATGTGCATGATTTTTTTTTTTTTTTGCAGACACCATTTACAGAGTGTGATTTCGTTTAGTTAAGAGTTGTGTGCCATTGAATTCATTGAATCGAGTACAAAATTTTACATATAACAGATATATGGGGTAAGGACCCTTGCATTTGAAACACATTTTTCGGATCATCTACTATATTAAGATTATCACTTTAGCCATATCGATATAAATTAATATGACGATGACATACAAATTAAGCATGAACGAGGAAATTTTTTATTTGCAAAGTTCTTTTAATTATTAGAATACTATACTTGTTATGTTTGTGAATTTATATACATTATGTACTGAGAAAGGTGATAAGGAAGAGAAAAAAGAAAATGTGGATTATATGTACAGAAGAAAGGGAAAAAGAAGAGAGTGGAGGAAAGAAATGAATTATAAAGAAATGAAATATAGAGAAGAAATGAATTATAAAGAAATGAAATATAGAGAAGAAATGAATTATACTGATACTGTAAAAAATCGAAATGAATTAATAAAAGAAACCATATTATATTTCAATGTCCAGCGTAGACAATCATTTGTTACCAATTATTTATAAATTTTGTTCGTTCCATCATCAAATGTAAAAGAGAATAAAGTAAAAAGAGAACAAAGTAAGAGAATAAAGTAAGAGAATGAAGAGAATAAAGAGAGTAGCTTAGAAATAAAGGAGAAATCTTATCATAATTATTTTAACATAGTTATTATTAACACCGAATCCATTCATTTTGATGCACTTTATCTTGTGACCAACCATCTTCAGCACCTATACACCTAGTTGGTTTACCTCCACTAAAGCTCTCCGCACGATTATGTCTTGTTTTATTACGTTGACGTTGGCCACGTGCGGCTGCGGTAGCAGATTGTGATGCTAATGTACGACCAGGACCATTAAATACTGCTGCTGCCATTAGAGAGCCAGTTACTGTAGATGTTGTTTCGGATTGTCGAACATCTCGATCTTTTGTTGAATTCCATCCGGATGACATGCATGCTGCTTCGAACTTTTCTATTTCTTGTTGTAAAGCACGAATATCATCATGTAGAGATGCATGAGCTTTACGAAATTGCTCATAATCAGTCTTTTGATCCCGACGTGCAAGCTCAATATCAGTTTGAATTTGATCGCATGTTGTATCATCTTCTTCTTCTTGTTCGGTTTCTTGTTTCGTTATTGTTAATTCTTGATTATTAGTTAATGATGTTGTATTAAGTAATTCATTTAAATCTTTATTATTAATAAATTCTTCGGAGTTTCCGTAACTCGAAGGAAAAGAGGCTCGTCTACGAAGTGGTGTATATCCTGAGATTTCATCATCCCAATGAGGAAATGAAAATTTTGGTTCGGTATATACTTCCTCATCTCCAATCTTTGAAGGATAGTTGTACCTAGAGAAATTCGGGTAGTAATAGGGAGAGTAGGTACTTTGTTCCTGCCTTGGGGGTTGTTTTTTATGTACCATTGAAGCTTGTAATAAAAGTCTCTATTTTGGTTATTTTGGCTATTTTGGCTATTTGGGATATTTTGGTTATCTCGTTGGTTATCTCGTTGGTTATCTCGTTGGTTATCTCGTTGGTTATTTCGTTGGTTATTTCGTTGGTTATTTCGTTGGTTATTTCGTTTGTTATTTCGTTATCTCGTTGGCTATTTCGGTCGGGATTTTTTTTTTTTTTTTAAGGTTTGTAATTATAATTTTTTAATATTGGTTTAATATTGTTTTCAATATTTGGGTTTTGATATCGATATCGGTATTGTTTAACAATTTTAATATTGTTTAGCGGAAAAAAAAATTTCTTGCAACGAACTTGTTTGTGAAAAAAAAGATTATTGTGTAGATTTTATGTAATTTATCTCTCAGATGTTTGCCGAACTTCTTTATATGTGGTCGTCACCGAAATTGACAAAAGATGAATGTGATGATGATGAAATAACGTGGATATTAACGAAACCGTAAATCCGTTGTGAAAAATCATGTAAAAAGGCGTTTGTTGTGTGCATGTAAAGAAAAATTTAGAAAATTTAGACAAAAAAATGGGAAAATCGCGGCTTAATAAAGATCCCAGATGATGAAATGAAATATCGGAAATGACGGTATCAGTTGATTAAATTTGGCATTCGCTCTCCTGTTTGTGTACCCAAACTGACTTTTTTTTCTCTCTTAGTAAGAGGAGATCATGGTTACCTCGAGGAGGCAGTACAAAATTGAGGGGGTTGATCTTTTCTTATATACCTATTTCTATTCATTTATTACTATATATTCATTATTACTACAGTACATATATACCTACTTATTACTATTTATTAATCTATATACTATATATTTACAGTATTCATTATATAATTATATATCAATAACAACTAGAAGATATAATAATGTAAATCATGTATACTGTGTATAAAGTTACTGTTTATAGTGTAATCCTGAAAAATGCCGATACCTGCTTGTTGTTTGTACTAAATTTTTTTATAATTTTTTATAATTTTTTATTGGTTAGCAAAATTTATATAGTAGGGTTTCTATGCTTGTTCATATAATTGTTTATTAATTTTAAGTAATAGGTTAATTA